GGAACCGCCTCCATGGCACATAACAACAACAACAACATGGAGTCTTGGTGTGGCACTGTGGATTAATGGGCCAGACTGCAAAGTCATTTGAACTACAAGGTCAGAGATTCAAGCTCACCAGCTGCTCCTTGGAAACCCATATAGGGTCACTATGGGTCGGAACCGACTCAACAGCACTTAACAACAATAAGGAAAACAAAACAAAACTTTAAAAAGAAAGTCCATAGGGTTTTCTTGGCTGTAATCTTTATGGTAGCAGATCAGCAGGATTTTCTTCTATGGTATGGCTGGATTTGTTCCAGCCACCAACCTTTTGGTTAAAGTTGAGCAGTTTGCACCACCCTTGGGCCTTGAACCCCTCAGGGACCCAGTAAGCTAGGTTTTAAGAGCCCTCTTCCTCTTAAACACAAGAGGGCTGGCTCCCAGCTCCCTCCTCCCTTAGAAACTAGGAGTTTAGGCTCTGACACTCTTATGGTTCAATAGACAGGACCCCAGCTTCCTCCTTATTCTGGACCCACAGTCTCTATAGAAATCTTGTGAATTCAGAGACCAGGGAGTCCTTGACATTACCTTGTGGATGAAAGTATGGTCTCAGCACAGAGAGACAACTTGCCTTGCCAACTAGGAAACAGCAAAGCCAGGATTCAAATCTCTGTTTGTCTGACTCCTGCTTCTTCAGAGGCAGCGTGATGCTGTGGGAATCCTTCTGCTCAGGAATCAAGCACATCAGTTCCAAATGTGCCTCAGTCCCTTTCCTGTGGACAAGTCCCTCCCCATCTCTCAGCTCCACTTGCAAAATGGGATCACTTTCCAATACACTTTGTGCTCCAAGAGGCTCTCGGACTGCATCTATTTTCTTCATTGGTGTGTCCTTAGGGTTCAGAATGGTGTTTGGCCTGTAGAAGACACTCAAGAACTGTGGGTTAGATAAATGAAGAAATTATCATCCTTCAAAGAACCATATGAGCATGAAATGACATTGTGAGCATCTAGCTCCTGGCACATAGAGGTCCAGGTTAAAGGTTTTTCCTCCCCTCGAATCTATTCCCCAAAGGAAATTAAGGAGAAAGGTCAATTCCACTTTCAATAATTATTTGAAGACATATTTATTGAGTAAACAGTCCTGGGTGGTATTAAGTGCTCAAACTACTAAGTGCTCGACTTGATTTGAATCCATTCAGAGGTGCCGTGGAGAAAAGAGCTGGCAATCTGCTTCTGAACAATCACAGTAGAACAGTTCTCCTCTGCTCACATGAAATTGAGAACCTGGAGATCAGGTGTAGAAGGAAAGGCAGAAGACGAGAGTGACCGTTAAAAGCTTGAAAGTCTCCAAGTCCCTCAGCCACTTGTCCCTTAAAATAGTTCAGGGCAAGGAACAAAAGGTAAGCACTCTAAGAGCTCCTCTGTGGGTGGAGAAACGGGAACGGCACGGGGAAAAACTTCATGGTGTTACACCCGTCAGACCAGCCGTAGATATGACCATGAGTTGCGAAGGTCAGATTCTGAAACTAGGAAAAAGCCAGCTTCAGACAAATCTTTATTAGGAACCTTACACACAGAATTTAGCATGAATATGCTCATCAAATATCACCTGACTAGAGGTCCATGCAAGGAGCTCTGGTAGCATAGTGGTTACGAGTCGGGTTGCCAACCTCAAGGTCAGCAGTTCGAAACTACCAGCTGTTCTGTGGGAGAAAGATGAAGCTTTCTGTTCCAGTAAAGATTTACAATCTCAGAAACCCTGTACAGGGTCACTATGAGTCAGAACTGACTTCATGGTAATTAACAACAACAGAGGTCCATGCAGGCAGAGTAGGGTGTGGGTGCTTATACCCTGTACAGGGTTTCTGAGGCTGTAAATCTTTAAGGAAGCAGAATGCCTCATCTTTCTCCTGCGGAACAGCTGGTAGTTTTGAACTGCTGACCCTGATGTTTGCAGCCCGATTCGTAACCACTACGCTACCAGAGCGCTCTCTCTCTCTCTCTGTCTCTGTCTCTCTCTCTCTCTCTCTGTGTCTCTCTCTCGCTCTATATATATATGTATA